GTCGATTATTTGTGTAAATTGATTCTGAGCTTTGTCATGCTATATGCAGAAACAAATTCTTTCGATATCACTCAACGGCGACTTTGCCATACATAGTGTAATCGCACAATCGTCCGTAACACTTGCGATGTCATATGTGCAGAATAAAATCACTGAACTTCTGATTATCTAGGTGCACCCGTACATATAGCATGGTCATAGTTGATTCTAAAAATGGGCTAACATTTACAGCTGTAGGTGTTGGCGACGCGCTCGCCGACCCTTGCAGGGTACATAACCACTGCTACTACGGCACGTGGCCTAACTGGTAGACCCGCGGAGATTCGGATACGCGGTTGCAATTTTCGCGTTGGTCGACGACATCTGTTTTTAGGAATTCATACGAACATGTACCCTGCCTTCATACTTCAAATCGGCCGACACGACTAGCTGATTTGAAGTATAAAGGAACTGTGACGGCGAGAAGGACCGATTTTGGCCAAAATTCAGCCTATCTTTTAGCTATGTCGTCCTTTTTCAGGAGTACAGAATATGTTTGCAATGGAAGGTGCGGTCGCAGAGGAACTGAATCTCATCCATATTTTCTTATTTGAACTCAATGTATGCCTACTTCTTGTACTTTTTGCAACTTTTTAGGCTTACAGTAACTTCTAAGTTAAATTTGTTAAAATTTTTCTTGGAGCAACTTGTTTGAAAGTGGTGGATAAAGCTGATTCTTCTGTAGAAGATAACGAAATTGACCCAAAATAGCATCAAATAGAGCCAACTACTTTATGTTCGAACAAGAAGTGTTGAGGTTCGTATCTCTGCGGTCACGCATATTGCACGCTTGCATCACTGTCACCTCATGAAAGTGCCATTACTTACAGAAAGATTGGGTGAAAACTGAGGCCCATTCTTCCCGTTTCGTCCGTGATTCAAATATCTGTCGATACTTCATAACTGATCAACAGTGAGAATCGATATAAACATATATATATTTTTTTTTTGAAGCACGGGGAAACGAATTAAGCGGTTAACGGCGACTGATGGCGTAGTATAATCGGACCATTTGCCTGCAGCGCCGCTATGCAACACATCCCTCGTCAGCCAATTGAAATTTGTTATTCTGACGATTGAAATCTAGCAGGACCCTTTGGGCGCTTAGGAAACATCTATCTTTAGCAAATGCTTTCAAGCTTCTCTTCATTCTGTTGAAATCGTAATCACTTTCTTCTTGCAGAGGTCTCCAACAACCTATCGACGGTCATATCTCAACAAGTGCCTAACCTTCAAGAAAACAGAGTTGTAATACAGCAACCGCAGATGGCTCCATATCCTGTAGATCAACAATGTGTTCAACCTCCATTAGGTCCGCCTTCAGCGATGGATCCTCAGTTACCACCTCAACTTGCTCAAGTGCAACGAATTCCGATGACTATGCCCACCACAGTGTCTACTCTACCTACACAGCAGCAGTTGCTGGTTCAACAACAACAGCTACAGCAGTTACAGCAGCAACCGATGCAGCAGAGGTTAAGTGTCAACCAGGTATGATTTTACGTTGTTTTACGTTACTTCATATCTGTGCACCATATTGTTTAGCGCCAGCTTCCACCAGGTACGTTAGCTGCGTTGCGTGCTCAAGCACTGCGTAGTCGGTCGCTATCCGCAACTGCTATTCAGAGGAATCATCCGCAGTTAGCAGCGAAGGTTGGCAGTTCATTTAAGTTTTCGGTTCGTTGCATGCATCGTATAGTTTTTGAGCAAAAAGCTCTATTTTGTCCTGTTATTCTCGTGCATCTTCGTTGCAAGTATTGATTGTGTATATCTAGCTACTCGAAGGCGGAGTAAGAGGTGCTCGCAATTCGCGCTATGCTGCTGCGCTTGCGGCGGCAATCGCTCGGCAAAACCAACCTCTTCCTTGGAATGCGCCACCAATTGCACGAAGAACTCCGCCGTCCAGTGATGAAGAGGATGTGAGCAAGAACAACAATGGAAATAAGGTGAGAAATAGTGTTCAAGGAGGTTCTAAACAATCAGCTGATTTTATCTAGGTCATTCGCCTTCGCATGAAACGGCAGAGACGACGAATGGTTGGCATTTATCGCGCTATTCCAGAAATTGACTCTATGTGCCGTGCCGTTGAAGATGCTGACTATGATAAAACTGACTTATTTCCATTAGGTGAGAAATTGATCTAATCAACAATTGATTACGTTTGGAAATTCAGGATTGGAACCCTCTGATGATGAGGATTCCACGTATCCTTCGTCATCTGTGCTTCCTACTGCCAGTCTTGCTGTCTCCAGCTATTCCGGTGATCTGTCCACGCAGTTGTACCTTATTAAGAAGCAGTTACGGCTGGAGAGGCATGCCTTGCTAAAACAGGTTTGTCATTCGATACTACTTTGATGTCCAAAAAGGGGAATTTTTTTAGGCGCAGCTTAATGCTCATATAATGTGCGCTTCGCGAAGACTTCCGCTAAGTGTTGGTGCAGCGTTGCGCCAACGGTCGGATCCGTCACCACCACCACTTCAGCTGGCGCCAGCATCCTTGCGAAGATGTTGCCAACTGGACAGCACGAATAAACAGCGGTAGTGGTCAATTGTTTTTTCATTTCGTGGAAGAGTTCTTTTGTCTTCAAATTTACAGATGTGAACGTGCCTGCCTACCGATGTCTAATCATTGTGCGCAACATGTTCTTTACAATGTGAATCAGCGGTTATTCTCATTTTGTACGCAGTCATTTTGTCGTCGACCTGTGAATTCGATTGATGCACTACTTTGGGATGGAAAATGTTCTGTTCATAGGCAGTCCAGAGAGGATAAATATGGTGGGTCTACTCCTCCATACCTTTGATTTTAAAAATAATCTTGTGATTATTACATTATTTTGTTTTTCTTCAACGTCCAAATTCTGAGGCGTTGCGCAAGGCGCCGTAATGTTCCGTTGTGTATTTCATTCACTGCCTCCTATCGCTCAGACCTAGTAATTTCATCAAACAATTGATATGAATCATTCAGGGCCAGCTCCACTCTATGAAACTAGCTCATTTATGGGCTCTGCATCTTCAGTTGGTTCACCGCTTGGCGATGAATCATCTGCAGCCAGTCCAATGCCTCAAACTGATCCACGCCATTTTCTGACCGACACCACTGCACCGATGGACTGCCAGCTTTCACTAGACGTATCCCATTCATGGGATGACGTCACCGAATTTCTCATGTCGGAGGGGTTTCCGGTGGATTCGCCTAATTCTCAGGTTACGCCAACATAGATGACGGTGAATAAGTTGTTTATGTGTGGGCTTCTTCAGGTACTTCATTGGTCTTTTCTCTCATTTATGTTCCTCTTCATCTCCTATATACCTGTGCAAAGTGCTCTAAGCAGCTGATCTATTGACTGCTGTTCTTTTACGTGTACAGTTTTTGATTTAGCGGTCTTGTTTTAAACAGCCGATTTTCAAGATAATATCCCCTTGCGTATCCAGAGTTATATATCGGTAATCGAGAATAGTTCGTTGTTATCTCTAGAGTAGCTCGAACAAAAATAAGATATGAAAGTGCTATCACTGCTTTATATTGCATTACATAGCTCATGATTCTCATCTGTCTTCAGTGTTCATTTTCGTTTCTCACTTAAAAATGTTTCTAGACTCTTACTGGGGTATCTTACTACTGGTTGAAATATCCAGTATAATTT